GACTTCCTGGTAGGATCATCGGAGTTTCTTGGAAACCAGGACCAGCACCCTGCGCCGGTTTAGGAAGGGACACAGCAGATGGTCCTGTCTCCCCTGCTCCGGCCAGGCTCCTGGGGCAGGGGAGACAGGCGGTGGGCAGAGGGGCAGAGTGACCAGGTTCCAGGAGGAATCTGCGTGGGTGATGCCACAGCGCCACAGCCTGCAGCCGGCTGTTCCCTATCCCCCCTCCCCCCTGCTCCCCTCTCCTCCCCTCCCTCCGCCCCTCCCCCCATGCCCTCACTCATCCCGTGGGAGTGCTCCCGGGGAGGTCAGCCGGCTGACGGAGGTCAGGGTCCTCCTGAGCGCCTGAGACAGCCTCTGCCTGCTGTGAGGGGTGGGATTCGGGCCGGAACCTGGACGCACCTGGAAATGTGGAGTTTCTGGGTCTAAAGCTGCCCAAAGAGAAACAATTTCCCATCCCCACCCGGCGTGCATGGAGGCACCTCGAAGCAACGCTGTGAGCAGCGAGACCTGCTTTTTCCCTTTGAACGTTGCATATCGTAGGAGGGAGGCTATTTCCCAATCGGCTGCTCGGGAACCTGTCCTGGGATTTTCCCAGTCTAGACGGATGGTGGCCCTCCCCGAGGGAGTCTTTCTGCTCGGATGTGCTCCAAACCGCCTCGCCTCGTGCGGAGGTGCCAGCTCTTTCTCCGAGGAGGGCGGCCTGTGCGACCTCCGCACCACGGTGACAGGCTGGCCACGTTGCCTCCTGTGCCCTGTGGTTCAAAAGCGAAGATGACAGGGCCCGCCAGGGGCCCCACGCGGGAAATAGAGGGGATTTCTGGAACGTGTTTGGCAATCCCTTCTGACTTTCCCCCTGAGACCCGCGCACTGCCAAGCTGCCGTGGCTCCTGCCAGCGGCCAGCCCAATGCTCAGGGCTCGGCCTGCGCGGCGGGCGGGGCCTCCCCCGCCGCGGGCCTGCAGACACGCCGCCGGCCGCGGCTCGCTGTGCTGACCCTGGAACTGCGGCCACAGCGTCCCGCGTGTCCTCCGGGATGTGTGCAGCTGGATTTCCGGTTTTCACTGAAATAAATAATAATTCCAGCCTCCAGCTGGGCAGGGGGTGTGAAGGGTCACCGGGCACGGATACCCTAAAGCAACGTGCACCCGACCAGGGGCTCTGTCCTCCCCACCGGGCGGGCACCTGGCGGGAGTCCTGGGCCTTTGGCAGCTCCTCCCCCAAAGCGAGCGAGAGGAGGCTGGCAAACACCGAGTCAGGAAGGAAAGGGAGGCAGTCGGAGTGCTTTTGCCATCCCTGGCACACGAATCCCACGTTACAGCAACGAGATCAGGCCTTTTGTGGGGACCACAGGGCAGCCAGCACCCTCAGCAGTCTGCTTTCGGGGTGTTCCCTCTGGCAGGCTCGGCCGCCAGGCTGGCCCGACGTGAATGACTTCGGTGGGTAACACGGGAAACACGTTAATGCTCACCGATGCCGTCTCTGCGGGAACCGGGAACTGACAGGATCCCAGAAGGTTGCTGTTCGATGGGCCTCATCGGTTCCAAGGAGAGGCGGGAGGAGCCGAGGGTGGACATATGTGCTGCCCATTAATTGATTTGCATCGTTTGGCTGCGGGCCCCGCCGGGGGCTGTGACCTCTGTTCCGCTCAGAGGAGCCACCAGGAAGTGGTGGAGGCAGATGTGTTCTCTCCTCATCCGGAGTCCCCTGACCCGCAGGGCATTCGGCCACTTCTGGGTCTGCTGCTGCTCACATCTGCAGCCGCTCCTCCTCCCTCCACAGGCCCCTGTCCCAAGCGCCTCTCCTGTGGGAGGTGCCGGGCTTAGCCGCCTGGCGCTGTCCTTGGGAGTGAGGGAGGGGAGAGAGGGAGGGAGGAGAGGGAGGGAGGAGAGGGAGGGAGGGGGGGGTTTTAGAGGACTTCACCTTGAGATCCACTGAGATTAACAAACAAGGGTTGGCCAGTGGAAGGATTCGTAGGCTGTGTGTCTGTGACTTCCTGGAGCTGGCCTGCCCCTCAGCTGCTCAGCTGCAGGCATGGCATGTGGTTGGCCTGGCTTCTACTCGGCGGGGGCAGTGTGGAGGAAGGTAAATGAAAGAAGGAGACAGAGGCTTTTTTGAACTGCGTAAGAGCAACCTCTGCAGCACCTGTCTCCCGCCACCGTCGGCTACATCCTCCCAGCGCTAGCCCCGCGGGGCAGCCAGCTCCATCCTGGTCCCTGCCTCTTGTCCTGAAATAATCCTGAACCCTGTCCCATTTGCTGGGCCCCCTCTCATCCCCTGTAAGGCTTCAGAATCACAACCTACACTTCCTGCCCAGCTCTAGGGCTGAGTGGCTGAGCTTCGGGCAGCCCCAGGGACACTCCAGCTTGAAGTGGAAAGGAAGCACCTGCCAGTTTCCCTTCTGAGGTTTCTCTCCTCCTCAGTGTCTTCTGGCTGTGGGGCAGTCCCCGGGGAGGGCAGGTTGAAGACAACGATTTTGTTCGCACCACGGTGCCCAGTAGGCTGTGTGGAGGGTCAGGAGAGGCCGAGGCAGCCCTGGGCCAGACTGGGCCGGTGCAAAGAGCAGAACAAAGAGGCCTGGGGAGAACTGGGACCCTCTGCTGGCGGATGTGTACCCGGGCTGCGCTCTCTCCTCCATTTTCTCCTTCGGCTCCTCCAGGCCCCCAGATGAGTTGTCTTCACCGTACGTGAAATGATGGTGGCCACCGTCTCAATGACAGTGACAGCGCAGGGCACCGAGGGCGCGGGGAGGGGGACGGGACACGGAAGACACATGCAAGCAGCTTCTGCTCACCCTCCGAGGAGCTGTGGGAGTGGCGTGTGTGCTCGTGCTCGCTGCACCCCCCACCCCCGGCGAGAACACGCAGGAACACACATGTGCACACCCGGGCAGGCAAGACACTGGGCTTGTTTCAGTTGCTGGTCTCCCCTCTGGCTTCACAGCAACACGCATTTGTCTCTGCCTGGTGCTCTCAAGGAAAGGGGTGAGGACAGGATGCGGCAAGGAGCAGGCGTGGGAAGCTGGAAGAGGGAAGCATCGAACCACCAGATCCTCCGCCTGCCCCTGTTCATTCCTTTCTTGCTTCATGTTGATCTCTCAAAAAGAAGAAAAAAAGAAAAAGAAAAAGAAAAAGGCAGAGTAAGGCTAGCAGGGCTGCAGGTCCCCATGGAGCACCGCCTGCCGGGAGCTCCAGCGGGGCAGCCTGTCCGGTGACAGACGCAGACACAGAGCCTGCACTGGAGCCGCGCAGCCTCCTGCCTCCCGGCCGGTGCCGTGTGCACGTGCGCAGTCCCCGGGCTCTCCCTCCTTGGCCAACCTCAGGGCTCGGAGGCCAGGAGGGGAGGAAGTGTCTGCAAAGAACGTGCAGGATCCCGGGTGAGCCCGGGTGCTGTGCGTCAGTCTCTCACAAGGAGGTTCCGGGCGGGTGGCGCCCGGGTAAGGAGACACTGATGCTACCCGGCTTGGCTCACCAGCCTACAGGCAGCCTGCGCCTCCGGCTGGGACTCCGCCTGACCTCCCCGGGAGCGTTGCAGGCCTGGGGGAGAAGGTGTGGCCCCGGCACAGTATTAATGTGTCAACCTTCCCAGCACAGGGTGGGGACGGGGGGCCAGCGAGCTGCCGGAACCCGCCGGCCTTTGATATTTCACATTATCTCTCATCTCATGAACCGAGACAGCGGGGATTCTCCGCAGCCAACCTGGACAGGAGTGATGCTGGGATCTGCCGCTTCCTTAATTCATGGAAGCAGCAGCGAGGAGAGAGTACGGCCCTCTGGGGGGGGGGGGGGGGGACGCCATTCGGTGGAGAGGCGCCACTGGTTAACCGGGCGGCTCAGGGACCAAGGCCGGGTGCACCTCACTCATCAACTGCATCGCAGGGCTGCTCTTCACCAGCTCCCGACCGGGCTGGACTCCCGGCGCTGGAAACGGAGTGTGTGACAGCTGCGTGCAGCCAGTGGCGTCCAGCATTTTAAAAAGGTCGATTAAGAAACGGTTGATGGCGATGCGGCGAATGGCAGCCCGGAGGGGCGAGCAGGGCCGAGTAAACAGAAGGGCCGAGGCGTATATTGCTGGAACTGAAGTGCCGGAGCGAAGCGTGGTGGGAGGAGATCCATTGTCACAAGCCATAAAGCACGTCTGAGCTTCGCCGCGGCGAGCGGTACAGCTGTTCCCGCCCCAGGCAGCGCGGGCAGCAGCCTGAGCCGCGGGCTCTGCAGACAAAGGCGACACCTGCATCGGCTCCATCAGTCCGCAGGCAAAAATCTTACCCTCCTCGCTGCGGCTCCTCTGTTCTCCCGCGCGGGGAGCGCGAGGCAGCCGCCGGAGCGATATTAGGAATGTGGGTCATGTTGTAGAAATCCTTATTTTAAGCCTTCCCCAAAGCTGGGCTCCGCCTTCTCCTCCGGGCTTGGGGTGGAGGGGGCGGGGAGCGGGGAGTCTGAGCGGTGCTTCCCCAGACCGCACATCTGCTCCCGGCTTCCCCGGCACACAGACGCGGGGACAGGCTGTCCCCTTGACACTGCGATGGAGAAGAGAGGGACACGCGGCCCTCAGAAAAAGTCTATTTCGGCTGCGACAGGATCGGCCGGTGGTTGGGGGAAGGTATCACCGTGTGGGGCTGTGCTTTGGCACTGGAGACAAAGGGGTCTGAGGGGCGAGGGCAGGCTTTTTGGCCACATCTACCTGTCCAGCTGGAAATTCAACAGAGCAATGGGCGAGCTAATTGATATGCAAAACAGGTTCAGGGTTCCTAGAAATGCCTAATGAGCCTCCAAGTCGCTGGGAATGCAGAATTAAAGACACGCACCAACCTTTTTTCCTTTTCCTGCTTAACATCTACTCTGGGAAAGTTCACAGATTTTATGATTAAAACAGAAAGTATTGCAATCAGTGCGGTTTGTCTTTCACACACTGGAATTTATTATTAGAAAATAGCTTCGATCAGCCGTCAGTACCAAACAAGTTGACAGGAGCGTGCTTCTCACCATATATATATATATATTTCCTCCTTAATGAGAATTAAATACACAGCGCGCTGTGGGGAGAGCTGCCACACCTCTTGTTCCTTTAAAGTCTGAATACTTACATGAGATTTAGTACAAAACACCCTTCAAGCATGACTTGTTCTCCAGTTGTTATGCTGTGTCCCCTTGAGCATGGGACATAAAAGAGATGAAAAAGACCACTTGAGCTATCAAACGACCCCCAAGAATCTACAGTAGAAACCGGCAACAAATAAATGAATCCAACAAAACCCGTCCAAACCAAGACACCAGTTTTAAACATTGGCTTTTCAATTTGATTATCGTCTAAGTTTAATAAGTTTATAGATCTGAAATAGTAATAAAAAGGAAGAATCGAATTGCATCCTCAGCAGGACAACCTTCCTCCTTTGTGAGAGAGGTGTTCGGAAAACTCCATACAGTATCTGCTAAATGAACATGTTTGGCAGCTTAGCAAATATCATAGGATCGCAGCATCCATGATTGGAAGTGGAACAGCATTCGATTTCTCCGGGCGGAGTCCATTGTTGCTCGGGGCACTGTGTTCACGCGGCTCTGGATGTTCTTAGACCCACGGGCTTCTGGAACGGTTCCGGGGTGGCTCAGGGCACGGCCCCAGTGTGGGCACTTCCAAACCCAAACAAGGAGTGAACCAACCAACCAACCAACCAACCACACAAATGTCAGACAATCGTCTCTTTTGAGTTCCTCTTGACAGAATGGAGGCCCAGCAAGGACTGCTGGTTGGAAGGTATGTTGACAGACTTTGGAATGAGGAGAATCACCCTTTGATTGGTCCGACGCCATTCGTTGTACAATCGACAGTGGTACCTAAACGACACCTGGGGTTAGGAGAGGAAAATAAGGGAAGGTTTCAGGTAAGCATGTGCCGATAATCGATCCAAAAAACAAACATGTCGCTTACAGGAGCTGCAAGCAGCTGGCAGTGGCACCGTGGGGCAAGGATCTGGCTGGGACTGCTCCAGCGAGCGGCGGGGAGCTGGGACCCTGGGCACCCACATGTGAACACCTGGGCCCAGCTCACAGTGCAGCTTCCTTTGTTCCTCCTCACATTGGGTGAAATCAGGGAACCAATAGGAAATGAGGTTTCTTCTGAGTTTGGGCTTATTTGGGGGATAGTGGGATAGTGGTGTTTAGGTTTGAAAGCATCAGTGATGGCCGAAACCGGTTTGGCTCAGTGGATAGAGTGTCAGCCTGCAGACTGAAAGGTCCCGGGTTCGATTCCGGTCAAGGGCACGTACCTTGGTTGCAGGCACATCCCCAGTAGGGGGTGTGCAAGAGGCAGCTAGTCGATGTTTCTCTCTCATCAATGTTTCCAATTCTCTATCCCTCTCAATTCCTCTCTATGTAAAATCAATAAAATATATATAAAAAAGCATCAGTGATGAAGAAGGTTGGCTGGAAGCAGCGGGCACAGTGGGGGGTAGTGCCTGCCCTTGCCCGCTGAGGGACCGGGCAATGTGCCTTTCTGGCCCTCAGGGAGGGATGCTGGGGCTTCATGTGCCTGCCTGCAGGCTGCACACTGCCAACTCAAAGGACACCATTCGCACCGATTGTGATGGGAAGGGCATCTTTTGTTCCTGCCATGAACACCCTGTGGAACTGTACTGGGGGGCCCCGAGGGGTGACCCCCAATTGCTCCAGCTCCAGCATTCGATGGCTCCCAGAGGGGGCGCTTCGGCATGGGCACAGAGCTCCCCTGATCAGGTCTTCTTCAGCCACAGCACCTCATGCCAGCCTTGGCATGGCACCGAGTGCCCTGGGCATTAGTGCCCTTGTCTTTCTGGCATTATGGCATCACGAGAGCAGGGCTTGTGTTGTTTCCATCTTTGCAAGGCCTGCACCCATCACAGTCTGGCACTGGGACGTTGCTCAGTAGAGTTTGCTGAGTGAGTGGATGAGTGAATACTTATCCTATGCTTTCTAATTGCAACAACTGCTTAAGATTTAAGCCTCTGTTGTATCTATGTGACAGTAAGAAGAGTAAACTCAGTTAATTGTGACAGAACTGTGTGCCCAAAGTGCTTGCTTCCCGTGTAAACATACTGGAATGAGAGGAGTCCGTGTGTGGCTTGTGTTGGAGAAGGCCGGCATGGAGCACCGATGGACTGCCCAGGAAACGCACAGCTTCATCTGTGCTTTTGAAGACGTACAGACGCCTTTACAAATGGGGGCAGGGTCCAGGCTGAGTGCATGCAGATGACCAGGTGCTGGGAAGGAAGGCGCCCTGGGCCGAGAGTGACACATTACTCAGGGATGGGCTGTGCCGCCCCCTGGAGCGGTGGGTTGTGTGGACCCCAGTGCAGGCCAGAGATTGGGTTGGCCCCGTGGCTTGAGGTCAGCGTTGGCCGAAGTGGAGGAGAGTGCAGGCCCTTGGTCCGAAAGGGCTTGCTGGCCCTCATGGCAGGATCATGTAATTCTGAGTCTAATCACTCGCTCAGAAAGCAAACGCCACGGGCTGAGAGCCAGAGATTTGGGTATGAAAATATAAGCTTTTAAGCTCACACAGATGTGCTTTTGTCCAAAAGGCCCTGAACATGCCAAAGCGGACCAGGGTTTTTCCCTTTTCCTTTTAAAGCCCGCTTCCCTTTCATCGATTCTGTCCTGAGGCTGCTCGGTGCTCCTCTCGAATGTTAGAGAAGCAGGCTGGGCACCTGCTGTTCGGGGCCAAGGGCAGGGAAGAGGCAGAACACAGGCAAGCGCTAATGAAGAGCGTTGGCACTACATGGAGTCTGGAACCTGGAAGTGTTACAGGGGAGCTGAATTTCTAATCAGGAGTCCTTTCAGCCATGAGGTTAAAGAGCCACGCCTGGTTGGCATCGGGAAGCAGCGAATTAAGCTGTGGGCACAGGTGGGCAGCACCTTCTCTACAGGGTAGGAAGCAGGCCAGGGCTGCGGGCCAGGCACGTGGGGCTTGAACCCCCAATCTCCCTTTAATTCCGCCGAGACTTTGGGTGGGTTGCTTGCTATCCCCAAGTTTCAGTTGGGTCGTCTGCCCAATGTGAATAATGACATCTGAGATGATGCATAAAAAGCACTTAGCACCCGCGGCCTAGGGGATATGGTCAATAAAACTGTCATAACGGTGCATGGTGTCAGGTGGGCGCTAGACGTTCTGGGTGATCACTTCATGAGTTATATAAACGTCTAATCGCCCTGTGGTACCCTTGGAGCTAACGATACTGCGTGTCAACTGTGTAACTGAAAAACAAAACAAAAAACAAAAAGCACTTGGCCTCGTGCCTCACACCCAGGCGAATGTGCTGGCCTGTTGTCGTTCAGTGTGGAACAGACCGTCACTTTGTGACACTCCTTCTTAGAAACAGGGAATGGAGGATGGGCTGTCCCGTCTCAGGACGCTCTCGGTGTGGTGGCGGGTCAGCCGGCACCACCTGGGAGCTTGCTAGAATGTGAGAATGTGCGGCTCTGCCCGGACCTAAGGAGCCGGAGCCTGCCTTTCAGCAGGATCCCAGGTGACGGGCCCCTTCCCTGCAGGCTGGGCAGCCCTGCTTCCGGGAACACAGGTGCCCACGACTCAGCGGGTCTCCCGGCTCCTTGGCCAGGAAGTAAGAAATCAGCCCAATGTTCAGATAAACAAATTAGACCTTATTATGCATTAATTTATCTTAATTGCTGTCAACGACCACTTTGTGGGCAAGTCCAATCAATAAGAAGAGCATGCCTTGGCTGGCTTGGCTCAGTGGCTAGAGCATCAGCCTGCGGACTGAAGGGTCCTGGGTTCGATTCTGACCAAGGGCACATGCTTGGGTTGCGGGCTCAAATCCCAATTGGGTGGTGCAGGAGGTGGCCAATTGATTCTCTCTCATCACTGATGTTTCTCTCTCTCCTTCCTTCCTCTCTGAAATCAATAAAAAAATATATTTAAAAAAAAATAAGAAGAGCACATCATAAGCAGATGACTCGGTCTGAGGGAAAATAAAGGAAGTTGGCCAAGTGCAGAAGGGACAGCTGTGAGCAGCTGCCCTGGGCGAATGCAGGCTCCCATCTCTAGAAGCTCCAAGACACCCCCTCTTCCCCCCTTGCCGCAATGAAACAGAACAGGAGAAAGCGAAGTTTGAATTAGAGAAACAAAGAGGCAGGGAGGGAGAAATAAATATAAATCAAAAGAAGCCGTAGCAATAGGGACATTGGGAACCTCGTTTATACGGAAATCTCTGAAATTCCCGAGGTTCTAAGGAGAGGAGGAGGAAGCAAGAGCACAGGGCGCCTATTCTAATAAAACTCCTCCCTGTGGGATGGGTTTCTTGAGGTGCAGTCATTTCTTCATCCACAGGATATGTATTCACCTCCTGTCATGGGCACGGTCAGTCCCGAGAGCTGTGTTCCTAAGGATGGCACAAGGAGAGGCGCCCAACTCTCCTGGTCAGGGAGGTGCCAGCTGCCGCCCAGGGCTGTCGCTACGTCACAGCAGGCTTTGGAAAATCTTCTCTCTATGCATTTTTCTTCTGCCCTTTCTCTCCAGAGCTTATGGTGTGACCATGAGGTAACTGGTGGGGCTGGGGCTTTGGGAAGTGCCATTGCAGAGAGGGGTCCAGTCTCTGCATCGTGCAAGAGAAGGGGGCCCTCACGCTGCCACGGGCTGCTGAGGGTGTGTCTAAACCTCGTTACAGTGTTCTATTAGAGCTTTTCCCTTTTATAACAAGAGTTTAAATGATTAACCCATGGGGCTGGGAGTCAGCCAGAGGATTCAGATGGTCCCTTCGTTCCGTTCCGTGATGGAGCACAGCTTCTGTGCGGGGCACCGGCTGCCGCAGTGACCCGGTGACTAGAAGGACTTCCTGTGGTTACAGGAGGGAGGTGCCTCCGCTCCGGCAGCTCTGAACCCGGCCTCCTATGACTCCCACTCTGAACAGTTCCTTAACCTTCGTGTGGACGCAGCTCTCCTCCAGCGCGCTTGCTGTCTGTCCCTGGACTTCCACATGGCCAGAGATGTGCTGGGGCACCCCTCTCCTGAGTGGGGGTGGCCGAGGCCTGTGCCCCCTGGGTCGCAGGTGCCTGTGTTCCCCACAGCAGGCTCCATAAGGCAGAGCTCCCTGTTTGTGTCCAGGCCCGGCCGCCCGTGGGCAGGTGAGCGAGCGGGCGAGGAACCCCCGAGGCACCTTAGGCGCTCAGCGTGGGTGCGCAGCCCTCTTCACAGAGCCCAAGAGGCTCTCCCGGGAAGGCTCCTCTGAGGAGCGGACTGACACCGTGCTTGTTTACCCAGGACATTTCCACGGCATTTTCTCCTGAAGCCTGACAGCTTGTTTACAATGGTTTCTGCTGGAGGGCAGCTTCCAAGTGCTGTCAGCTCCTGAATTACGGCTCTTGCCAGGGCAGCTCGGTGCAGCGTGTCTCCGGGAAGGAGAGAGTCTGCACTCACTTCCTACTGCGGAGCACGCTCTTCACAGCAGCCCAAGGACAGAAATGCCTTTCTTTTCCTCCCGCCACTTTGCATTGTACAGAGGGCTGGGGGCGGTGGTGGGAGGTGGGGGAGCAGGGAAGCCACAGGGAGAAGACCAGGGTGCCTATGATACTAGGTGCTTTGACATCCGTTCCCATGTAATCCCACCTAATCCTCACAGAGGCCCACTGACCCTGGGGTTATCAGTCATCCCTCCTTTGTTTTTGCTCATTCTCACCCCCCACCCCCCGCCTTTAAGGGGAAGGATGATCAGAGAGGTTAAGTACCTTGATTAGAATTACACAGTCATTAGGATGCTAAATCCTGGATTTAAACACCTGCATTTTTACTCTGCTGCCTCCTGGGAAGGAAGTACTACACACACCATCTCTCTCCTGAAAGAACCGACTCCAGGTTCCTTTCCCGCCCAAAACCTCCCTTTCACCCAAACGCGGGAGATCAACCAGGGTCACGTCCGTATTTCCCTACGTAATTCTTTCTTTCGTTTCTTCCTTCCATGGCTCTGCCCCCTATTTGGCCTTGTTAGGTAAGTCGATGCTTCCCAAAGCCGGTTTTCAAAAAGGCTTCCGTTGGTTTGAAAGCCAGGATTCAAATCCACATCTTCATTTTAGGAACTTGTCTGAGAAACATGGTAGACAAGTAAACCTCTGATCTTGGTCAAACGTTATTTCCCAAAGTATTTCCCCCTGTACACGCCCATTTCTATCTGATAGCACCAGGGGAAGTGGGCAGGGCGGGCGTTACTGCCATTTCCACTTACAGAGGGGAACACAGAGGCCCTGAGCAGTGCTGCGACCTCACACTGAGCTCGCCAGACCGTTTAACTCCTTACTTCTAACTCTCCTCGCAGCACAATGTCCTTGTGACTTCTGAATCAGCTTCAGGGCTTGATTCGTCACGAATCAGGTACACTTTGGAAGCCCAGGCCTTCAGAGAAGGCAGTAATAGCTTTGTGTGGGGGCTCCATTAGGCTGGGAACAGAGGCCTAAATGGACCAGAGGACTCAGTTAAAGTCCGAAGCATCAGCACACTCCCTGTTTACCAAGGTTCAGGTCACGTCCCTCTCCCTGAGACTGAGCGGTGCTCCCACTTACTGAGGGAGCGCTGCTCTCACCAGGAGGAGGGATGGGGGTGGGGAGGGGAGGAAGGGGGGATGAGCAGGGGCTGGGGTCAGTGTGGCAGGAATGGCCGCTGGTGGGCAGGGCTTGGGTGCCAATGGGAGCCATGGAAGCTTTCACTCGCTGACGCAGTGATGTGGGACATGGGAACATACCCTTCAGACAGGAAATGCATATTGAATGACAACGGGACGTGCTCAGATTAGAAACCAGCAGGCACGGGAGAGTAATGCCGGGAAGCAGGGGCCCAGAAACGATCCTAGATAGTTTCCTAGTTTTCTCTGCAGGCCCCAGAGGGAAGCTGATGCCTGAGCAACCAACTTACTCTGTAAGTTAAAAGAATGGGAAAAGAGAGAGAGAGAGAGAGAGAGAGAGAGAGAGAGAGAGAGAGAGAGAGAGAGAGAGAGAGAGAGAGAGAGAGGTTTTAAAATTCTTCCTCCTATGCAGAGGGAACACTTACTGGGAAATGGTTTTCTTTGGTGGCAGCTTCTCCGCCAGATAAATGAGTATCTTTGTGGGCAGCAGAGTCAATATCCCGACACAGAACAATCCCCAGGCAGGGCAGCTCCGCGCCCAGGAGACTTGACCGTGTCAGGGTGCAAGACAATGACCAGCAGGAGGGTTCAGGATGTGTGCAGGCAGCCACAGCAGCCGTGCCAGGCACAACCTTCACAATCTACTGTGATCCCCGCCAGAGGGAGGAGCATGAGCAAGGGAGGGAGAACGCCACCTAACACATGGAGCCTCAGCGGCCAGAGGGGAGCAACGTCCAGGGTGTGTCTCTGACTGATGGGCTCTCAGAAGCTGAGGCTTTTTCTTTACTTGATCTGCTCGTCTCAGCAGCGTGTGCCTGCTCCTGCATCTCTGCCCCTTTCCCCCACCCCCCTCAGTAACAAACCTAATCACACATCCTAGCTGCCTGCACCGGGCAGGCGAGATGTGACCCAGACAAGAGGGGAGGCCATGCCAGCGGTGGGGCTGCCAGCTGCAGCTGGCCTGGTCCCCGGGGCCGTGGCCATACTTACTAGTGTCCAAAAGAGGTAAATAGTGAAGAGTGCGACAGTGAGTGCAATCAGTCCCACGGCCTCGAGCCGGCTGCTAAAGTGCAGGTGGTCCACGGCGCCCCGCAGGCAGAGCCAGCCCGAGATGGTGGCCAGGGGCGTTATGAACAAGAAGCACACCATGTCTCCGAACAGAGTCCGCTTCTCATGCTGAGGGCCTGGGTTTCTGAGCCACTGCCGGGGAGAGGGAGAGAGAGAAAGAAAGGACATGGTTAAACCCTTGGTGGCGTGGAGACACTCCAAATTTGTCTTGATCTTCAGAATCCAGGAAAAGGCCCTTCTGACTTGTGCTGAGTTCACAAGGGAGCATTAAGGCTCATTCCCATGCCTCCACCCACTGAATAATAGTGATTATGATAATAATATAATATGACAATGGTGATGATGATGATGATCATAATAGTAATAATGTATCCTTGCTGCAGATGGTCTGTTTTTGAAAAACAGTTCAGTAGTTATGATTATATATCACAATGAGTCTATGAGGAAAGTAGAGGATGTTCTTTTTGGGAGGTAATAGTTGAGACGCCAGAGTGCTGTCAGGTGGCCAAAGTCTCCCAGTGTCTGGATCCGGGGACTGCGAGCAGGAGAAGGTAAACTCAGCCAGCCTGGATTGCTCCATTCCTGGCCCTTCCCAAGGAAGACTGGCTCCTCAGAGATGAGCCGAGAGTCCTCGTACTATTCTGCCTGATGAATGTTTGGTCTGCCTGGGGCATCGGGCCTCGGAGCACCAGTGTAATCAGAGAGCTTATGCCAATGCTGTGATTTATGCTGAACACCTCTGTGTGCCCTGGGGCTGGAGCCTGAGTAGCTGAGGTTAGTCATGCAGGCGCTGTGTGCCTATGTGACTGACCCCCACGAACACCTGGACACCAGGGCTGGGTGAGCTTCCCGGGCTGATAACGCTTCATATGTGCTGCCTCGATTTGTTGCTGGAACAATTAAATGCACAGTATCGTGTGACATTCCTGGGAGGGGACACCTGGGAGCCTATGCTCGGTTTCTCCTAGACTTTGCCCATGCATCCTCTGCCTCTGCTGACTAATGGGCATCCTTTGGCTGTAATGAGCCGTAATCAGGAGCAGAAGCGCTTCTCTGAGTCCTGTGAGTCCGTCCAGTGAATCACTGAGCCTGAGGGTGGCCTCGGGGACCACCTGCCCACAGAGACTCATCTGACCCCATGAACTCAGTGATGCCCCCTCCCTCCTGTTTTAGGACCCTAATCTCCTACCTAGAACTGCGTTGGACATCTTAATTGTGCTACCATCTTGATTGACTCAACCCTCAAAAGGATGGGGACAATTTTGTGCTTGTTTAAGGACTGGAGCTGAGAATTTCTACAGGACAGGGTTGCCCTCCCACTGGGGGAATTGCTGAATATCTGCTGAAGTGTTTTACATAATCTAGGAAAAGTCATGCTTTACATATCAGTGTCAGTGTACACTGGTGAGAAGGCTGGTGGCTTCTGATTAGTGTGGAAACATGCCCCCAAACAATCTGACATTCTCATAGCACTGTCCCACGTAATAATGAGAGAGGCCATGGAGTCCAGAGAAGGAGTGGGGTCAAACAGAGAAGGAGTGGGGTGCGGGTGGGGAGAGACACTGCGACTCTGTCTTCCTTCTCATCCTACCAACAAATGGGGAGGCCTAGCAGTGCTGAGGGCTGGCCCCCAAATGGGAGCACCGTGGGCTACTGAGCAACCCCAAGTGGCCAGGGCAACAATTTCCACAAAACCACTGCTGGGAGGGAAAAAAGCATAACAGGAAAGAAAAGAGAGGGAGGGGCTGACTGGAGAGAGATGAGAATGTCACGCTCAAGGGTGGAAGGAAGAGACCAAAGAGCCACAAAGAGGGTGAGCAAGTTGAGGAAGGAGCTGTGGACGGGCCAGCAGGAGACGTAGGGAGCCAGCAGAAGAGACGGAGGCAGAGGCCCAGAAGGAAGTTTTCTGGGACCCTAATCTCCTACCTAGAACTGTCTTGGACATTTTAATTGTGCTACCATCTTGACTGACCCAACCCTCAAAAGGATGGGGACAATTATGTGCTTGTTTAAGGACTGGAGGTGAGAATTCCTACAGGACAGGGTTGCCCTTCCTCCAATGTTTGCCAGAAGCCAATGTTAAATGACCTGGGATGCCCAACATAGCACTTCCCAGTAACAAGCCTCCTAAAATGGGCCGAGATGCTGGGGGAAGCCAACCTCAGCTCAAAAATGGACCCGAAGAAATACTTAAAATTAGACAATGGGGAGGTGACTTGTCTGTGAATATAAACACAGCATTATAAAAATTTAATATAAATACCAAAATGACCAAGTGCAATGCGTGGTAATGCTACCTCAGACATTCAAAAAACGCTTATTAATTAATATTGTATTGCTTACCCACTAGGAATATTACTATGAAGTGAGGAGTAGAAATTTGGCATTTTTAGGGCAACTTTATGGAGGCTCAGTTAGGTTAATCAATTGCTCCAAGTCAAACTGAAGAGGATCAGGATATTGCTTTTTTTTTTTTTTTCCTTCCCTAAAATGAACATGGATTGTTCAGATATCTTATCAGTAAATATTTGAAAGTTAAAGTTAAAGTTGTAAGATATTCAACTTCTTAAACAATGGTGCCCACTTGCAGCGCCCTGATTCCTCCTGCAGTTTAGATTGTGTCTAAGAGCAGATCTGAACTATTTTTTCTGTTGGAACATAGTAGCTTCTCAATAAAGTGACACATGATCACAGACAAGCTGACCTCAGTGGCTAAGACTTCCTCCAATTTCTTTTGCTTTGGAATTCTGAATACATTTTATTAAAACTAATTTAGCACCTTACTTATCTATGTGGCCCTTGACATTACCCAATGAAATGACTCAGGTATGGCAGGAGGTAATTATGAACCACTACTTATCTCTGTCTGATGTAAAAGAAATTGAAAAGCAAATTAGAAATTATTATTACTTGTTCCAAGTTTTTTAAATTTATTTTCTATTATTTTTAAGACTATATTTCTGAAAAATTTCTAGGCCATTTTATATGTACGAGATACCTCAATACCAAGGTTCCACACCTTATTAATGCTGTGTATTTTTTCAGCTTAGCTTACTCTTTGTGGTTGTTTGCTGCCGAGTCATATTTAGGTATGAAGTGCTTTAAAGAGATACTATTATGTTCACATCTGGGACTTCTTCAGAACCTCAAGTGTTATTTATCGCCTACACAAAGGCAGGCCCCTAGAGCAAGACCAGTGATAATATCTGTGGTTGAGAAAAAAAATTGCCCTGTGCCATGGTAAGAAGCTCTGCCAACGTGTCCAAATAGGCTAATAAAGAATATTTACATTGCAGAGTTTATGAGAGAAATGATGTGACTATACCTCAAATTTTTAGCAACAGGGGATGGTTGAAATACATTATGGATTTACTTACAATAGAATTCCATAGAGTAATTTCAAATGATAATGCACATTTTATATTTACTGACATGATATATTGCTGAGCAGGAAAAGAAGTTTACTGAACAGAATGTACAGTATGAGCCTATATAGGTAACCATATACACATTGACATTTACACAGATGTAGTGGAGTCACATAGACACAGACTCGGACACTGAGCAACACTGTGGCTCTTCCTTGCAGCCACTGTGGACAACAGGAGGAAGACTTCTCAAAAAATTAAAGATAGAACTGCTGTATGACCCAGCAACTCCACTTTTGGTTATTCATCTGCAGAAATCCAAAACACTAATTTAAAAAGATATAAGTGCCCCTATGTTCATTGCAGCATTATTTACAATAGCCAAGATATGGAAGCAACCTAAATGTCCATCAATATATTAATGGATATGCTGGAATATTACTTGGCCATAAAAAATGAAAATTTGCCATTTTCAACAACATGGATGGACCTACAGAGTATTATGCCAAGTGAAATAAGTCAGAAAGAGAAAGATAAATACCATATCATTGCCTTTACATGTGGAATCTAAAAAACAAAACAAAGAAAGAAAACAGAAACTCATAGATAGAGCAAATTGTTTGTCAGAGGGAGAAGGGTAGGGGGGGAGTTTGAAAAAGGGGAAGGGATTAAGATATACAAATTGCCAGTTATAAAAACAGTCACAGAGATGTAAAGAAAATATAATCAATAATATTGTGATAACTATGTATGGTGTCAAACGGGGACTAGACTTATTGGGGTCATCATTTCATGTTATCTAAATATGCAATTACTATGTTGTACACCTGAAACTAATATAATATTGTATATAACAGTAATTGGAAAACAAAACAACTACAAAAATGGTGGCTGTTCTTGGTGGTGGAATTATGAATGATCTTTATTTTTTTTCTTTTTGTATTATTTTTCTACACTAAATGGACTCCCTGTATAAATATAAATTGTATATTAGTTGTGTCTGAAACAGAAAAAGAGAGGGAGAGAGAGAGGAAGAGAGAGAGAGAGAGAGAGAGAGAGAGAGAGAGAGAGAGAGAGAGAGAGAGAGAGAGAGAAGAGAGAGGTCCAATGATGTCTGGGTGTTTAATCTCAGCTATATTATCTGCATTTTGGCTTAATTTATAATAGAGTAAGGTTATTTCAATAATTGTTCAATTACATTTCTGCTCATATATGTCTCTGGCCTCTCTTATCAGTTATACTTATTATACATAGAGTATTATATGCATTCTGTAGTAGTACCTTCCTTTCCCAAATATTCAATAAAGAACAGGCTAATGCAGAATGGCAGGCTTGTGTCCACCTTCCTGCCTGACCCGAGGAGAAAACTTACCTGTATCACTGGCACCTAGCACATTCAACACTCTCAATGCTGAATGAATGACAATAGCTTCTGTTTACTCACAGCTTACTATATGCCAAACATAAACTATATAGAGTAATTGGTTTACTCTTCAATAATCTTTAAAGAGGTAGCATTATCATCATCACCATTTTATAGGTAGAGATACTGAGGTCCAGAGAAGTTAAATAATTTGTAGAAGATTGGCCTTGGCTTTGATCCATGTAGTCTAGCTCCAAAGACAGTACTCCTAACCACTCTATTATATCATAATTCTTAGAAAAAACAAGAAAAAGAAAAATGGGGGGTAGATGAAGGGGATGTGAGTTGGATTGTACCTTAACTGTTTTTTTTTTGTTTTGTTTTTTTTTTGTTTTTTTTTT